TAAATCGGAGTATTTTAAAATAATATATACTCGGTGGTCAAAATTATATTTAAAGGTAAACATAAAAATATAATTTCAAGAACCACTAACGACTAATAGTGATGAAAAAAGATTTTATTAAACAATTTCATATATTGGTTAGAAAATTGGAAGAAAGCCAAATACAACACTGGAGTTCTAAATAAAGAAACACTGCATTATTCCACACTACATATACCATTATTGAGATAGTTAATATTGTATTGAGGAGTTTGGCTTTCAACATATTCTTTCTGGTGAAGTGCATACTGTTGTACTGGAAGACAAGTTTGGAAAATATCGGTAGTTAGCATGGTTACAGCACAATATCTCTCTAACAAGTAAGACGATTATTTGAAGTGGAAAATAAATTAAGAATGCAAAGTGTTGCAAATTTAATATTGTTCAAAAAAGAAGCTTTTTTGAATAATATTAAATTTCTATGTACAGATGATGTCAATGATTTTATTAAAAACTTTAGACAGGAAAAGTTTGTTATATTCAAACTCAATGTTGTTATACATAATTATATAATAATTCGGAAATTTGTATATGCTGAATCTAAAAAGTATTTTTTACAAGAAATTAATCAGAAGTACTTGGCAATAAATATTTAACATACTAAATGACAAAGATATTTGCTTTAGTAATGATAGTTGTTGTATATTTAGAAGGATATACTTCTAATTTCGTTATAAAATATAGTGAGTTTTTTAAAAAGTTACTGTAGAAACAAAAATGATAAATCAACAAAACAAGGAAAGAAAAAAGTTTCAAACTTTAAGAAACTAGTCGGTCATTAACTAATTTTTTTAATCTGTTATTAAAAATTAAATATTGTATTGCAAAATTCTTTGTAATTAATGATGATAGCAAAGTACAAAAACATTCTAAAATTATGTAAACTGATTGAAATAATATAAAATTTGTATTTCATAGAAAAATTTTACATTTTACAAATAAATTAAAGGTAGTTTAGAATATCTAATAATTTAGTTATTTGTAATTAATTAACTTAAATTTCGAACATGAATGTAATATGCATTATGTATCACAGATAATTTTTATATTTGATTCAATGTTATTTTTATAGATTGTTATTTATTTCAAATAAAATTTGCTTTATAACTAATGCATTGTTTGATATATTTATTCTTTTAAGGGAAAAGAAAACTTGAAATTCTAATAAATTTCGCTTAAAAATCAATTCTATAATCACATGTAAAACTTTCATTTTATTAAATGTAATAAATTTTATTCTGCGTGAAAATAGGCCTACTTCTTATGACGTCACAGTGCAGAGGTCTTGAAGTTATAAGAGGTATTAGTGTAGCTCACGTCCTTAGATTACGTCATGTCCACGTGTCAGAGTTGTTCATATTAATAACTTTACAAACAGTAGGGATCGATTTTACGATAACGAAACGAACCGAAATCGTGATTTAATGTTCAAAATAACGAAAACAATATAAACGACAAAACTTAAAGCTACTAATTCATTCAAAAAAGTATCCAATAGATAAATAAAAATTCAAACGTTAAATATGCTTTAATCCAGCCCTTTTCCCAGCTCTATTAAGTCTAGGGACATTCCTGTCGGATGTAACGAAATGGTTAAAAAGTAAGTTTTATATAGGAAGTTTTTACATAACGCGGTAAATGCGTTTCTTGAAAGTAGCATGTAAAATGAAAATGCATTAAACTGTTTATATCTCGTCTACTTCTCCAGACACAATGGATATGTTGTATAAAATTATCCATAATAAATTTTGTTAAAATTAAAAAATGTTAACTGAAAGCTTATTCAGGAGGATTTAGAAATATTAAAGTTCTAAACGACATTGTAAATAAATATAAAATGATTAAATGAAAAGAACAAATACTGTAAATTTAATTAATACTAAAAATATTCTACCAGCGCAAAATATTTTATGATCGAAATAACAAATTTCGAGAGTAAATTTATCTATCCTTATGTAACTTGACATATCTTCTGACGCATGGAATAACTACCATTTCAGTTTTGTTTTTTCTTCACTACTAGGTGCATGAAGAAAAAACAAATAAAGGAAGACACAGTGTCGGAAATACATAACTACTATTTCTGTTTCCGTTACGGTCAGCATATTCAAGAAAAAATTATGTTCATTTATTCGATATTCATTCAGTTATTATTTTTCACTCATTTTTCTATTATTATTGATGGTGTATTTGTCGATGAAAATAGAATTTTTCGATGTGTTCTCAAAAAGAAAATAAGCACATTTAACAGCCTCCATTTTGTTCAGATTTTGTATCTTTTAATTTCTTTTAGTGCGAATTTCGCGTATTCTGTATTGAGAAGAAAAAAAATACATTTTAATCTCAAAATATCAAATAATGAAAAGAAACCGTTAAATGCGTTTTCAAAAACGTCTATTTCTTTCTTTTGGTCTATTCTTTTTATTTGTTATGATACTGCTTACATGCTTTATTTCATTTTTTCGGCAATGGAATCGGAGCTGCTTCTACGAAACTGAGAGGTATCGCATGTGCTGTTATCTTAAACATTTGCATCATGTATGACATAGCTTTAACGATTTCTGTGATGATGATAATGATGATAGGAATTGTCACTATGGAAAAAAGATTTGATTCTCTTTCTAAGCAATTATATTTAGCAAGTATTAATAGTGATGAGTATGAGATCAATTGTATTGTATTTGAACGTGTTAAAACGTCTCACTTCTTAGCTAAAGTTAACAATGCCTGTAAAAATGCATTTGTTTTCATGTATATTGTTAGTAGTCTCATAATTTGTATCCTCGTATATCTTACTGTTGTTAAAACTATAAATCCACGGGGACAATGGCTATTTGAAATATCAACGATTTTTTCAATTATCAGTGTGCTTTTAATCACTTCGCTCTTAAATTGTGTTAATTCTGTAAGTTGTAATTGATATATAATTTATAAATTAATAATTTAATATATTAAAATTATTTGTAATATTATATCATCTTTAATAAGATCTTTTGACAGCCTTTTACCATAATTTGTTATATCTGAAAACATATATAGGCCTATATACAGTGGGCGATCGGTTAACGAACATAATCCGTTTCAAGACTGTTCGCTATCCGAATTGTTCGTTAACCGATTATCGATTTACCACAGGTTTTAATGGGCATTTAATTAATTCTTTCTGGAGACCCCCAAAAATATGTACTGTACTTTCTTACTACGTTTATTTATATGTAATAATAAAAATACATACATACACAGTCTTGCGTTTTTATTAGTCTTGTTTTTTCCGTTTGAAAGTGTTAAAGAATCTGTCTAATGTCGATTGCTTTTCTCTATTCAGGATTTTTCGTAAATAATTAATAGCAATGCAATTGTAGAAATCCCCAAGCCTCAACCTGGTTTGGATGCCATTCTAAGACTGTTGTTCTGACATCCTCACACTTTTTCAAAGGATCTTTAATAACAGATATCGGCATTAAACCTCTTTTTCAGAAGAAGACATATCTCACCGAGTTTCTTGGTGTTCTTCGTTCAAGAGTTCTTGGCGTTCTTCTGTCGACAGATTTGTTTCATGATCCATTATGAACTCTTTGATGTTCTTTATTTCTCAGATATGATTTTTGTTACTCCTTTAGCTTCTTGAGTCTTCTTGATTTTACAGTATTTTTCTTAAATATGATTGAACTGCGGCCTACTGTAGACCTGTTCACGCCATACTGCCCAGCAACATTAGGCATCTTCTGCCCACTCTCTGCCTTCGCTATTATACTCTCACCTTTCGAAAAGAAAAACAGACGCGAAACTTAACGAGTGCCCGCCCGACAGTCTCGCGAATTCTCGTATAAATTTCTGTCAGAAAAATTAAAGGCTGGGATTCAAAGTTCGGAGGAATACTATTCGATCGGTATATGCCGGGTTGAACGTTGATGTCGACGTCTCCTGTTCTCCAAAAAGTTTCGAATTGTTACCTAAAGACAAGGGAAGACCAATTGATATTCATAATTTTACGTTGCTTTTTTTGTGTTTGTTCTGTGAGGTGTTCGTTATCGGAACATAAAAATCAGTCGCGAAAGTGTTCGTTATCTGATTTGTTCGTTAACCGAACTGTTCGTTAACCGATCACCCACTGTATATCCATTAATAAATCTAAAATAAAAATCTAGTTGTTCATTTTTTTTTATGATCCACGATTTTGCTTTACAAATTATCCTTTCGCTTGCAGAAAAAAACGAAACCAAAACTGAACAATAGTAATTGATCAGAAAATAAAATAACAACAAAAAAAAACTAAACATAATGTGAAAATCTATGTAAAAAATAAATTTTATATTATTTTACATTATTTTTGTATTTATTTCTTACAAATAAAAGGAATAAAACAGCTACTAAAAAATATGTAATAACGGAAATACAGTGGTCTGTAACTAAAAAATGCTCTGTAATAACGGGAGTCCGTTACAGCGAATGAATTGTATAATTTTTCTACACTTGACTGGGCAATCATTCGAGCTTTTACTGTATCATGCTTATAAATAAAAATATCAATGCCAAATGAAACCAACATATAAATAAAAATAATCATAAATAATAAATAATGCAACATATATTGAAGTAACGCCATCTGTAGAGAAAGAAAGACAACAAAGGAAGCCACAGAATTTGGTAATTACATTAATATTGATAATAAATTATAATTACATTAAACAAATAATAGAAACGTTATAAACTAATAAAATAATTTCAAAAAATTACCCTAAAGTATTTAAAGTTATTTTAAAATAATTAGCTTACTAATCTGAATGAAAAAGTACTGAAGAGTATGAAATATTAAAAATGTTTATTCATGCTAACAAGCTTTATTTTATTTTTTGTTTTTGTAAAGTAACTTACAAAGCAATTTTTTTAAAATAAATTCTTGAATATTTTAACATTTCTTAGTGATTAATCAAGAACTTCTATTATTGCCATCGTTTTCATTTTAGTATTTAATATCATTCAGCAAAAGTTAACATATAATTAAGATGAAAATTACTATTGTTTTATACTATTTTTTATTGAAATTCCTAATTGTTTGTCTTGCTTTCAGATTAGAGTAAGAGCTGTATTTCGTTATTTATTTTAATTATTCATTTATTGTATTTTAATTTTAATTATTCTTTTATTATATTTTTGTTAGGAATTTTGGTAGTGGAGATTACAGTGAAAAAATCAGTGAAGAAAACATTGGAAAAACCATTGAAAGTAGTGGAGAAGACTTTAAAAAACCCACTGAAGGTGATGATGTAGACATTGGAAAATTTACTGAAGGTAGTGGAGAAGACATTGTAAAAACCACTAAAAGTAACGAAGAAGACTTTAAAAAACCCACTGAAGGTAATGGCGTAGACATTGGAAAAATTACTGAAGGTAGTGGAGAAGACATTGTAAAAACCACTGAAGATAACGGAGAAGACATTAGAAAAACCACTGAAATTAACAAAGAAGACATTGGAAAAACCACTGAAAGTAACGAAGAAGAAATTGGAAAAACCACTGAAGGTAATGGAGAAGACATTGGAAAAACCACTGAAAGTAACGAAGAAGACATTGGAAAAACCACTGAAAGTAACGAAGAAGACATTGGAAAAACCACTGAAAGTAACGAAGAAGACGTTGGAAAAACCACTGAAAGTAACAGAGAAGACATTGGAAAAACCACTGAAGGTAACGAAGAAAACATTGGAAAAACCACTGAAAGTAATGTAGTAAGCATTGAAAAAACCACTGAAAGTAACGGAGAAGACATTAAAATAGTTGGAGATTATTCTATAGATAAAACATCCTTTATTAGTGAAGGTAACTATATAATTATATAAGCCTGAATTTCATTAATAATGTGTTTAATAATAAAATTTACAATTATTAAAATTTGTATACATAATTACAGTATAATTTATTTTGTCATTTTTTTAGATGATGGAGTGATTTACTTTCGTGATATAAGAAAAATTTTACTTAGACAAGGTATTAATAATTGATTATCAATATATTTTTTAATTGTTTTATTAAAAATATAAAGATTTATTTTTTTAATTTCTCACTTTCTAATAACTAGACTTTATATCATAGTTTTTTGATAATTTTTTCTTCTATATTTACGAAGATATTGAGAATTTCTAAAATTAATTATTTATTAACTTTTATTCATTAATGTGGAAGGAAAGATTTACAATGGCAATAAATATATAGGAGAAAAAACCTTGATATTTTAAAATATAGAAGAAAAATTGAATTTTAAATAATAAATATTTTTATTTATATCAAATTATAATCTCAATATCAGACAAAAATATATTTCGGGTCTATAGGAAATACATTTTCTGTAATGAAATGTAACTAAATCTAATTTCTAAACAGCTAAAAACAGTTTCTTAGATTTGTAAGTTATAAATTATTTTGAATTTATTAGTCTATATAAAGAAATAATTATATACAGCATGAGTCAAAACTTCCTCACACCCTTTTAATTTCAAATTTTTTAAAATTACAGTACATTAATTTTGTTAATGATGTATGGGGAACAGGATGAGATCTTTTTGACTTTGAAAATGATTTTCAAGGTCACTTGTGTTCTAAGTTGATGATCAGAGATAACGTAAAAGTTCAAATGACAAAGTTAAGAGCATTATTTAATTACTATAAAAGCGTTTTTGAATTCAAGTATATACATTTAGGATTGCATAATTGCAACTGTAAATTTAATGATTTCGTTTTACGTGACCTTCAAAATAATTTCTAAGGTGGCATAAAATAAAATCACTTTTACTCTTTTGCAAGTTATGCATTTATAAATGTATTTATTTGAATCCAGAAAATGGTTTTACACTAATTAAATAATGCTCTTTAATATGTCATTGAAACTTGTGAGCAGAGGTAAAACATAGGTGACTTTGAAAATCATCTTCAAGATCAATAAAAAGATCCTTCTCGATAAATTCAGTGATTTGAAATGCATATATACTACAGTATGAATAAATAATGTTACAAATACTTAATTTAGTTACTGCGAGTCCNAGATTATTCTATAGATAGAACATCCTTTATTAGTGAAGGTAACTATAACTTTATAATTATATTGGCCTAAATTTTATTAATAATATGTTTAATAATAAAATTTTCAATGATTAAAATTTGTATAATTACAGTATTATTTATTTTGTCATTTTTTTTAGATGATGGAGTGATTTACTTTCGTGATATAAGAAAAATTTTATTTAGACAAGGTATTAATAATTGGCTATCAAATATTTTTTAATTGTTTTATTAAAAATATAAAGATTTATTTTTTTAATTTCTCACTTTCTAATAACCAGACTTTATATCATAGTTTTTTGATAATGTTTTCTTTTATATTTACGAAGATATTGAAAATTTCTAAAACTAATTATTTATTAACTTTTATTCATTAATATGGAAGGAAAGATTTACAATGACAAAATATATACGAAAAAACCTTGTTATTTTAAAATATAGAAGAGAAGTTGAATTTTAAATAATAAATATTTTCATTTATATCAAATTATAATCTCAATATCAGGCAAAAAAATATTTCGGGTCTATAGGAAGTACATTTTCTGTAATGAATTCTAGCTAAATCTGATTTCGAAACAGCTAAAAACAGTTTCTTAGATTTGTAAGTTATATATTATTTTGAATTAATTAGTCTATTTTAAGAAATAATTATATACAGCATGAGTAAAAATCCCTCGCACCCTTCTAATTCCAAAATTTTTAAATTTACAGTACATTAATTATGTTAATGATGTATGGGGAACAGGATGAGATCTTTTTGACTTTGAAAATGATTTTCAAGGTCACTTGTGTTCTAAGTTGATGATCAGAGGTAACGTAAAAGTTCAAATGACAAAGTTAAGAGCATTATTTAATTAATATAAAAGCGTTTTTGAATTCAAGTAGGTCTATATACATTTAGGATTGCATAATTGCAACTGTAAATTTAATGATTTCGTTTTACGTGACCTTCAAAATAATTTCTAAGATGGCATAAAATAAAATCACTTTTACTCTGTTGCAAATTATGCATTTATAAATATATTTATTTGAATCCAGAAAATGGTTTTACACTAATTAATTTAAATAATGCTCTTTAATATGTCATTGAAACTTGTGCGCAGAGATAACTTTGAAAATCATCTTCAAGATCTATAAAAAAATCCTTCCCGATAAATTCAGTGATTTGAAATGCATATATACTACAGTATGAATAAATAATGTTACAAATACTTAATTTAGTTACTGCGAGTCCAGACAATTGAAATTCGGAACAGAATAATATACGAAAATTTTTGGTTTACAAATTAAAAAGTAAGAGAGCTTATACCTCAAATCCCCAAAAAATAATTAATCAAATAAATACTTTTGAGATCATCAAATTAACTGAATAATTTAATTTAATATTTATATTAAAAGTTTTAATTCCACTCTTTATATAATAATTAGGACCTTAAGAGAACATTAAATTTCTAATTCATTTAGGATTATAAATTTCAATTGAATTAAATAAAAGAAACTTTAAAAAAATTAACATAACTTCTGATATAAATTCAAAAACTCATTAAGAAAACATTAATTCTCAAATCTAAAAATCGAATTCGTTGTTTTCTCTAACAAGAGAACTAAAATACATACTTAATTTAGAGTTAATAGAGGCGAAACCTCTTTCTTAACGAAAATTCGCAGAAAAGTGTTGATAATGATTTCATATACTGTATTTTTACATAATTTTACGAATACCATGAGAATAACTGAACAGATAAATCTTGGGCTTTTCCTAAGAATTTGAATAGCTATTCAAAAATGAATGCTATTATTAAGAAGGAAGGATATCAGAATTGAAACTTTAAAGATTAAATATTAGTTATCAACTGAACAGAATTTTTTCAATTAAAATCCTATCAAGTTAGAAAGATGTAGCTTTTAGGTAATATATTTTTCTTTCTTTAACATTTTTATCAATTCAAAACACTCGACTTTTATAGCTTTTTATCTAATTAAGAATTTTAGTGCATTTAGAATGAATGGTTATTTACGTTTGTCTTTTTTCTTTACTTTATTTAATTCAAAAAAATGAACTCTTATCATAAAGTATAGTTTAGCAAACAAAATATTTATTTTTCTGACAATATAATTTCATTTAAAAACTTTATTGTAATTTATTTCAACTAAGTATGCTATAGATGTAAATAAAAATACATTTTTATAATAAATAATTTACAGTAGAACCTCCATTATCCGGACCTCCATTATCCGGATTTTCGATTATCCGGATTGTTCAAAATAAACAAAAATTTTACGAATTTGCTGATTTGCACTTGGAGAATTACGACACTGTTTATGTACGTGATGGAATGCATAACTTTTTTTGTTTCAACAACGTCTCACCCAGCACAGTGGTCGTAAACTCTTAAATATATTTTACGTAGTAATAAAAATATAACTTGACATACGTATTTATAAATAATTTATATTCAAATTACATCATTTCTATGACCAAGGGCGGCGTAAGGCATGGAC